GGAGAAAGGCCTTATGAATGTAAGGAGTGTGGGAAAACCTTTGGGAGTTCTTCACACCTCACTAGACATAGACGAACTCACAGTGGAGAAAAGCCTTATAAGTGTAAGGAATGTGGAAAGGCCTTTAGTGATTCTTCAGCGCTCACGAAACATTTAAGAACTCACAGTGGAGTTAGGCCTTATGAATGTAAGCAATGTGGGAAAGCCTTCAGTCAAACTTCACACCTCACTTCACATATTAAAACTCACAGTAGAGAGACTATTCTCTGTCAAAAGTGGGATGTTTCATTTTTACTTTTATAATTTCGAAAAGCAAGTTTCCCAAGATCTGGCATTAAAGAAACAATTTTCTCAGTAACAAAGCAATATTAACTTTAAGGGGTCATTAGACCTACTTTGTGCCTTTGGAAGAAATGGCAATGTCATTGTAACTGCGGTATTCCTCATCAGTGTTTGTTACTTTATCAGTCTGGTCTAAATTTCACCTTTCTTAAAGTCCTTGACTATTATAAATGAGCTCCAGGGAATAGCATTGAGAAAATTTGGTTTAATTTTTTGTGTGTTATTGATGTTATTTTATATACACTGATCGTGTATTTGGTTGAGTGTTTTATTTTATTTCATATCAATCTCATTTTCTTCCATTATTTCCTATTGTAAACTTAACTATTATACATTAGTATAATTAGTAAATTCCTCTCCAGATAATACTTTTGAGACTGAAAATACTGTTTATTATGCTTTTTCACCTACTAATTCTAGAATCCATTGATAATTATTATTTATGATTATTATTACTATCATGTTTATCAAATGGTAATTTTTATATATTGTAAATACTATTTTACCTTATAGTTTAGCCTGCTAATTTTAGTATTGATAATTATTACTTCTGACTACTATTACTGTATTTACCAAATGATATTTACTGTTCCAATCATTTCTACTGTTTGTTCATTGGACAATGAATAGGAAGGAATAATTATACCAGTATAACCTTATTCCTATTATGTTTTTCCCCCTTCTCTGTTAAAATTGTCTTGAATTTCGTTATTTAGGAATTCCACTAGGTAATGTTCTGTATATTTTTATGTCTCCATTATAATTTGCACATTACTGTCTACTGGTGTTCATTACTTTCTGGCAGTTTTCTAGGTGCATCTTTCCTTTTCCTACCCAAACCCCCAAATCTGACCTTTCTCTAAAATCCCTACTCCCTTTTGTTGAGAAAATTTAAAAATAAAGATCTTGGCATATATTATACTTAATTGGCTTCTGGGCCCTAATAGTGCATAGAGTTAGGAAACATATGTGTTTGAATACAAAGACCTTTTTATTTGTATGGTGTTTTTTTTTTGGCATGTATATTATGTAAAATTATACCCACATGTTGATTGTACTCCAATACCCTAGGAATCATTTGATCTATCATCTTATTTTATACTGTACTCCTTTCTCTAATAGTAGTGCTTCTGGCTCATGAGCCACATGACATCATTTGCTGGAATTTAGAATGTACAGTTAGCAGTTTCATAATTGCTAACCGTGAAGTGCTGAACCTCCTTGCAGAAAGTAATTTGGTCTTTGTTTGAGATTCCCAAGCATCAATGTGAAGCTGAGTTCAATGAATGATGTCAGGTAAGATCAAAGGGACCACCTGGTGGCATGATTTTAACATCGAGATATAATTTAGCATATCAGTGGTGTGTACAATAAAAGTCTGAATGTCAAAGGCTTAAGAGAGCTTCCTGGAAGGTGAGAAACATCATTCCATGTGGAACATAGCATGTCCTGGGGACACAGAATCTTAAGAGTGGGGTCCTTCCAGACCCTGCCTTTTAATGTAAGGATAACCTTTTTGTTAAATTATCAGCGTCATTTAAATAAAGTTTAGAACCCAAAGGAGGGTCATAACTAAGTGGACTTGGGGCCCATGATCTTGAGGCTGGCATTCTAAGGTGGTTAGTCGGAACCCTAGAATTTTAGGCAGCAAATTAGAATTTTAGAATTGTTCAGACTATCAAAATTCCAACTAGTGTCTGCATGTTTTGCAATCTGATGAACCTTTTAACCTGTGCAATCTGGCCAGGCCCAAGGTGGTTATAGTCAGAAACACTCTTGTGTGCATGACTGGTGTCAGAATTAAAGAAGGATAGGAATCTGGTATTTCCATATGGCACAGCATGTGAAGTGGGATTCTCCTTGACGTGTTAGTGAGAAATTGAAGCCATTCAGCTCCATCTAATTTTAAAACTAATGAATCAAGTACTATATTACATGATAGGTGGCATTTCAGAGGGTTTGAAAATGGGTTGAGCCAAACTGATATCTATACCTGATGCTTATACATATTTGTAGGCATTCCATAAATAATTTAAAATGGATAGGCAAATAAATGAGTACATTTGAGGCAATTCAAGGAGGAAAACGTTTCTGCTTCCATACCCATCCACATCTCCATACTCTGCACTTCCTTCAGCTGTGGGTTCCCTCCTTCCTTTTTTGATCCATCACACCATTAATCATGTACTGTCTTTCTAACATCTTCAATATTTCTTGTCTCCTATTTGGTTATTTCTTGTCTCCTGAATTTGGTTATTTAGGAATTCCACTAGGTAAAGTTCTGTATATTTCTATGTCTCCATTATACTTTGCACATTACTGTCTAATGATGTCCATTACTTTCTGGCAGTGTTTTAGGTACGTCTTTCCCTTTCCTACCCAAGCCCCCAAATCTGACCTTTCTCTAAAATCCCTACTCCCTTTATTTGAGAAAATTTAAATTTAGTAGCATATTTTATCAATCTAATAGAACCATCTTCTAGCAATGTTTTATCTCTTTTCATGGTCTTCATGATTAAGCTTTTTTGAAAAGGTGCTATAACCACACATATTCTTGGCTTCAACCCTCAAGTCAGTCAAGAATTTATCTTTTCATAACATAAAGAATGTATATTTTAGTTACTACACCACTAGCAGCAGAATTTTAGTTTTTAATGCATTTAATTTTATAACTGCTTAACATTTATATTTTCATTTCATCTGTGCAAAATGCATTTACTTGTTTCTTTAATCTTACATTGCGTGTTCTGAAAGTCTACTTTAGGAGGCCTTCTGTCACCACTCTAAAATTGTCCTGTCCCTGTACTGCCCTGATACTATCCCTTGACCCCACGTTGATTGAATTGTGTCCCCCACAAAATATATGGCAACTTGACTAGACCATGATTCCCACTCTTACATATGTATCCCTCTTTTTGTGATCTGACATAATTACTTGTTGTAAGTCCTAATCTCTATAATGTTAATAAGGGAGTATTGGTGGTAGTTATATAAATTAGACAAGATAAAATCTATAGGGTTATGTTGTATCTCGAATTAACCTCTTTTAGTAATACAAAAGATTATTTATATAGAAGAGATTAAACAATAGAGCAAAAAATGGGACCTTAATGTACTAGTAAGAAAGAAAAGCCTGGAGCGGAATATGCCTTTGGACCCAGGATTTCTGCTCTATGAATCTCCTAGACCCAGAAGGAGATTGAATTTAAGAAACATGGAGATCTCGAAGAGATTCTAAGTCCACAGATGTTGAAAGGAGACAAAGATTTTTCCCAGAACCATCATAGGAAAAAAGCCTTCCCTTAGGATTGGTGTCCTGAATTTGGACTTCTAGTCTCTAAACTGTTGGAAAATA